GTCGGAACTCTCCACTATGTCCTGTCCGTGTTGTGTGGCCCTGCACGGCATAGCCCATAGCTTCTCTGAGTTACTCAAGCCCCTTCGCCACGACAAGGCAGCAATCCATGAAGCAATGGTCAGTCTGCTCCTATATATATTTCGGGTGGGTGTGTTTACTCTCCAGTAAATGTACAATTTATTATATGTTTCGTTACCCTCAGTCTTTGTACCTCAGATTTAAATAACAATCTAGAGATGTTAAGCTAAGACCTTCTGATCTCTGAATAGTCAGTTTGCTTCTCACCTCATTTGCTTTGAGCTGAAACTTGGGAGTATGAACTGCCAGCTCCTCCTATGTTAGTTTCATTGGGCTCACTTAGGAATAAATTTAGTTAGGTATCAAATAGTTCCAGCTGAGAGAAAATGGCTGAGGCTTTGATTCACCCTCCCCGTTTTGGGAAGACATGCCTCTAACTTAGCTCATGGAATGCCCGGACTCTCTTCTTTATCTATTTATTATTTACGATTATTTATGATTTTTGTCATTTTCTGTCAATTGATTTTTAATTTATTTTATTATAATTGTATATATGTTCCTGTTAGCCGCTCAGAGTGGTATAGATTTACCAGATGAGCGGGATATAAATCAAATAAATAAATAAATAAGAGCGATATGGCGTAGGTTAAGCAACTGCCCCGCACCGCATATGGCATTTAGGAGGAAGATCATAGTGTGAGTGAAATGTTTATTGATGGTGCAAGCCTGTGCATATTTATTCAAAAGGATTCAATGAAGTTGCAGCCCACAGAAGTTACTGGCGGTTAGAACTTGTCCGTCTCAAAGATACTGGAGGAATCTTTGTTGTATTGGCTGCAACAGACCTTTACACCTCATCACCACCACCACCCTCCCTCCCAACATTTTTGTTAGTGTGTTCACAATTTCAGCCTTTGACATAACTGTCACATAGCAAGAACTCTTTCTTCCCTCCTTCCCTGATTTTGGGGGGCAGGGGCAATACCAAGTGCTACAGCAGCTGAAAGAAAAATACCAGATGTCACAGTTTTCTCTCTCCATCACACAATTGGAGGGGGGGGTTACACTTAACCCTTACTATTAAGTATTAATACTTAATTAGTACTAGTACTTAATGCTTAAGTACACATTTTAAAACTTAGTAGTTTTAAGATTTCATTGCCATAAATAATATGAATGTGACACACAATCTTAGAGTCTGAAATTGTTTTATTTTTGTTTTTAGATTTGATGATTACATGCTTGTAAATAGGCATTGTCTAATGTTATACAGTAGTCTGCTTTAGTTAGCTTACCCTGTAACAAAAAGTCTAAATTTTAACATGAGATACAAAAGAGCGTTATGTATGGCAGCTTTCATTTATGTGTATATGTGTGTGGGTGTATGCATGTATGTACGTACATACGTATGCACGCACGCACACACACACACACAGATCTAGTTGGCATACAGTTGTCCACTATAACCCTTGACTATTTTTATATACAGTCAAGGGTTATAGTGGACAACTGTGTACCAACCAGATCTATGCATGATAAATCAAGTGCCATGTTTCCTTTCCATTGAAGATGCAACACACTGTCCTCATGGAATTATTGCCTACAAAAGTAAGCTCTTATTGAACTTGGATGATGATGATATTATCAATGATGTTGCAAAGATATCCTCTCTCCTGCAATTTTTTAGAACTTGACACTTCTGTCTGCTTCCAAGCACCAGCAAACCTGAGAAATAAGAAGTACAGTATATCATTACCATTATCAACAACAATGATCCCTACTTAACAGCAGCCTTCTTCATAGTTTTCTAGGTGTAGACTGTTCTGAAGTGGTTTAGCATATCCTTCTTCTGGAACTGTGCAGCTTGCCCTAGAACATATAGTCTGGTTTGTTTTCCAGAGGAACAGTGGGGAATTGAACTCCAAATCTCTGGCTCTGCAGGCAGGTACCCAACTCACTGAGCTATTCTCTTTAAGGAAAACTATTTAGTTCTTTATTTTCTTTCTTTAAAAAAATTACACATAGAAATTAGTTATAGTTAATAAATGGTTAATGGCGCACAAGACTGCAGATCTTTACTAAACAATGCTCTCTCTCCCTGTCTTTACAGAGTCAGAGGATGTTCTAATTACAGTCACTGCCCTTTTGGCCTGCTTAAATAGTTGCTGCAATCCATGGATCTACATGTTCTTTAGTGGGCACCTTCTTCAGGATTTCATACGGGGCTTCCTGTGCTGTAAAAAAATAAAGCAAAGGCTGAAAAAAGAAGATTCTGAGAGCATCAGCAGGAGACAGACTTCTTTCACAACTAACAGAAGTCCAACAAATAGCCTGGACACATGCAGAGAATCTCCAAATTCATCACAGTCTATTAAGTTCATACCCATTTCTTTATGAGCCTCTGATTTTTTAAAAACTGGTTAGTCTTTGAGTGCCAAGCAGCACTTTAGCACTTTAACTACAAGTGTTCATGGGGGTCAAATGAACTGACAAAAATAAAATAAAAGTTACTATTTTTATAAGTGTGATGGTTTCCTTCCAACTCTGCATTGATGTAAATGAAGGTTTTGAAGTAATTTCTCAAAAGTGTATATGGATAGGTATTCAACAAAGTTGGGAGAAGATACTAATACATGTAAGGACAGTTTTAAATGTGCAGTCTGAGTATTAATAATGTATGAGTTGTAATATTTAATGCAGTTGCTGTTTTATCACAGTAAAAACATTTCTTCAGATTCTCACTTGGAATGCAGTCTTGTATATGATTTATAGCTGGATCTAATGGAAACCAGCTGGCTGGCATGGGTGTAACTAAATATATGACAGTCATTTTGTTTTGGTCCCTCAAAGTTACTGATACTTAGACAAACATAAGATGGTCACAGCTATTCTTTATCTGAATCATTCCAAAAGCAATGAGACCTAAGTGAATCGGTCAGTCTAGAACTTCCTGAGTAATACTATGTATATATACATTCCATCAAATAGATAAATAGGACTTATGGCGATCTTTCCTAGAGTTATGCAGCCTGCCCAAGTCCACACAAACTGGCTCTGCCCTTCCATAAGCTGAGGGTCCCTGCGGGGAAGCCGACTCCTGACTCTTGGTATTCAAACCATTGAACTGCGGAGCCAGCAGTGCATAGCAAACTCTTAGCCAATGGAGGTTTATACATTCATTGAACTTCTAGAAGATACTTTCTGCTAATGTGGGAAATGGGAACCCAAGACTTATGTGTATGAGAAAGTATTGTGTGTATTGTGTTTATTGTCTACATTGCAACTTCTTATGCAAGCTGCCTGTAGACTGTTGCTGTTGTTGTTGCTTAGTCATTAAGCCGTGTCCGACTCTTCGTGACCACATGGACCAGAGCATGCCAGGCCCTCCTGTCTTCCACTGCCTCCCAGAGTTTGGTCAAATGTAGACTGTGATAGTCGGGCTAAATCTAGTTAGCCCTCAATACTCAGAGAAATCCCACTGAGCTTAATTTAATTTATTAGCAGCAACTTGAAGCTATTGATTTCAGTGGGTCTACTCTAAGTAGGACTAAATTTTTTATTAAGTCTACTGCCGTGTGTTTGAGAAGGATTAAATCCTTGCTCATAATAGACTTTAGCCTCTGAGCTTTGATCGCCAATTTAATTTTTCATTGGACAGACCATTTCTGCTCTTGAAGACAAAAGAATAGCAATAGTTTCTTCCTTTGGTCTAAGCTAGTGGTTCCCAACATTGGATAACTGATGCATTCTTGGACTGCAATTCTCAGAAACCCCGGGCAGCACAGATGGTGATGAAGGCTTCTTGGACCCAGATGTAAAATCCCCAGAAACCTTCACTACCAGATGTGCTGGCTGATGTATCTAGGAGTTGCAGTCCAAGAACACCTAGGTTACCCAAGGTGGGAAATACTGGTCTAAACAGAGTTGACAAAATGTTGTTTCAATGTTTCATGTGCTCGAGAGATGTGAACTTCCAGCCATATTTCGTGTTTGCTGTTGAAATCAGTGACATGTCTGAAGGATTGAGAAGGACCTTAAAGTGGACATGTAGGTCTCTAAATTTTGACATATGGCAGCTGAGGCCTACGTGCCTGCCGCAACAATATATGTGAAACTGACTTGGTTCTTCATGCTCCTCTGATAAATATTGTAATGGTAGACAATTCAAAGGGCTTAATGCAAGTCAGGAAGGTGTGGCCCAGCAACTGGATGCTAGTGCTGTCTAATCTCTTTCTAGAGCAAACATTCCATTCAAAAGCAAGGGGAGGGCTTGATGCACATCTTTCTAGGTTAGTGCCATAGAGCAAACATTCCATTCAAAAGCAAGGGTGGGTGATACAAATCACAAGCATGAGTTAGCTTTTTGACCCTATGTGGTTCTTCATCAGACTGGGCACCACACAACTGTGAGTGATGGAAAAGAAACAATAAACATTCCAACAATTATGACCAGCTGTGTATGCCAGACCCCTTTGATAAAAGTAAGGTTCAGTATGGGGGGTGGGGCAGCTGCAGAGTCAGATCAGAGATGTAGGTTTCAACTTTCACCTCCAGTGGTACAGATTAGAATCTCTCTCCCAGTTTTGTTAGACAAAAGATTGCCAGTCATTTAGCATTCTCCCACACATTGCCCTATAACGCAACACAAGGTGTTTTTTGGCTGGGAGTGGGAATTTCATTCAGTAATCCAAATGAAGGCTGCACAGTTGAGTCAATACTTGGAATTTAGAATAATGTGATGCAACAGAAAATAACCATAATTTGCCATCATTTTCTAAGTCAAAAGATTCTTAGCTTTATTTGTTGTTTGTCTGTCCTGATGATATCCTTATGGTGTGCCACATAATAGAAAAGTAATATACTTTGCCTTTGCAGCATCATTATTTTGCTAAGTTATATTCAGTTTGTGGATAACAAAATAAACTCCATGCCTTTGTCTGCAGTGTCACCGTATGTGTAATTATCTTACTGTGTATTTTCTTTCACATAAAGTTCTTATCTATAATAGCACCATATGTTTTTCTTCCATGAACAACTTCTTGCCAGTTCAAAAACATAAAATCTCAGCAATGACTTTTTAACTTTTCAAAGTAAACCACATGGAAGAATTACAAATTTTTGCTCCATGACGCAGTGTTGCCAGGCCAATTAAAGGAACAGAAATCCACCCCCCCATCCCAATCCATATGAATAAGCACAATTAAAATGTAACTAGCATTATTAGGGTGGGACAATAGTAAAAGCTGTAGGCCAAGAAGATACTCTGGTCTCAGGATGTAAAAATTACAGTATGCACTTCATTCCAAATTAAAATCATGAAACATTTTGACTTAGCCTTTTCAGCCTTCTTCAAGGGCTATTTACATGAAATAAAGCAGAAAAACTATATTAATCATTTAACTAAAATCAACTTGAAAAAGGGTTGGAGAAATTTAGACAGATGTGTATTGGCTCACAAGGCATGTTTTTTGCATTTGGCTTCAAAATACATAGCAATTCTTGTGCCAATCTGCTTCTTCATAATGTAGTATTAAATCATGAGAACTGGGTTTTGAAGAAATAAGTCTTAGTTTATTTTCAAAATGCCTCTGTAATCACTTAAAGGAAAAAGAGACTGAAAAGCGTAAAAGTAAGCTTAAGAATTTGTTTTGTTTTGAACTTGACATGCTCATCACCAATAACAAAAGTAAAAATGTGCTGTCCAATTTCTAGGTATAAAGTATTTGGAAGTGATTTACCACTACCTCTTACTGGCAGTGCTTTTAGACTGTACATCTTGCCTATGGCCATACAGGTGACAGGGCACATAACCCCGTCATGTAATCTGAACAATTCTTCTCAAAATGTCCCTTAAAATGCTGATTAAAAGTAATGTTTAAAAGTAACTAGGTATTAATTGTTACATGTAAGTAAATTGGGTGCTAATAATTGCACCTACAATGGAAATTTATAATTGTTCACATTAATCATTACTGAAAAGATAACTAGTTACTTGTAACTGTAAATATTTGTGTCTAAGCTCTAGTTATTAAGGTGAAAGATTCCACAGTTTGGTATCATGTGCTGATAGAGAAGAACAGAGAAGGGCCGTGATCTGTTTTAGTTCTTGAAAAAGTTAGCCTTTTGACTACAGCACTTAGAAACACGCCAACCAGAATACCCAGTAACTTTTCCAAGTTCTGCTTTGTTTATAAGCTTCCTGGAAGCATCTGCTTGGTCTTGTTACCAAACAAGATGAATCTTTAGTCTGACCACAAATGGTCCTTCCTACTTTGAATTAAAAGTTGATGAGTCTCCTGTAATAAAAAAAATAATTGTCCTCATATAAATATTATAGATCTGCATTGAAACAACAGCCCTTGGTTTAGTTAACAGAGCAGTTGGTTTTATTTGGTATTTCAAAAGCATTGCTAGACGTTTGTGCATCCTCTTATCTAACAGCTGAAATTGAGCAGCTATGCTGGCTGGATATCTGTTATGAAAAAAAAAGGGCTACATGAAATTATAAAGTACGGGCAATTAATGCATTAACTTGGGAATATGTGTATGTGCTGTGAAGACCAAATGGAGGAAATCAAAGTTTCCCTAAAACATCGTTGGGACATATCAATGGCATCATGGGAGGAGAGTAGAAAATACAGTGCTGGTTGCCCCCACCAAACTGTCTCTCAGATCAAACAGCCTGGATAGCCTTGATGGCAAACCCCCTGGGTTAAAGGTGCTGTCGCTAAATGCCAGTTCAGTGAAAGGTAAGACAACTAACATTCAAGACTTGTTCCTGGATTAACATGCTAACCTCGCTTGAATTACGGAGACCTGGTTAGATGAAGCTGGAGGAGTTCGTCTTTCTTAGCTTTGTCCACCTGGATTCTCTGTAAAGTAGCAGGCCAGACCTCGGGGTTGAGGAAGTGGAGTTATTCTAGCATATTGCAGTGTTGTGTCCCCCTCACCAAGGGCCCTCTCCCACAGACTGCTGAGTCTGAGTGCATGTACCTGAGAATGGGAGCCCAGCACAAAATAGGGATTCTGTTGGTATACCAGCCAGACAGTTTCTCTGCCTGAGATGGTCTCAAATGCAGTGTTGCAGTTTACTTGGCTTGTTCTGCTGGGGGACTTCAACATCCATGGGGACACCAGTTCATCAGGAGTGGCTCAGGACTTTATGTCTACTATGGGGCTGTCCCAAATTGTGCCACTCACATTGCGTGCGCGCGCACACACGCACACACACACACACACACACACACACACACATATACATATACATATACATATATACATATTAAACATATACATACACATGTATTTCAGATATCACACACACACACACACACACACACACACACGCACACACAGACACACACAGACACACACACGTAGGCATCACCTATCCATACAGCTGAAGCCATACAATGGCTTAACAAGTTGTATGTATTAATATAAACAATAATTTCAAAGCAATCTAATTAAACAAAAGCCCT